CCATTATCGTGAAAAGCGGCGTCGAGTGTGGACGGAACTTTAGAAGAAAGAGTCAAAGGATCTAATGCTCGCAGGGAAAATGAGTTCACATATTTGGTTCCGTCCCGGTCCCATTCCTTGTTGAATAATAGCGCTTCCGTGTCCCAAATTGGATTAGGAAATGCAAGGCGCTTGCGCTTCTCAATTATTTATTACTTGCCGGTTTATTCTCTTCTCAGTTACACTAACCACCCGAGCAAGGAACTGTGGTTAGGAAGTCCCCCAAAAGAGAAGGGAACAATTACACGGAGAACATTAAGATGTAGTGAAGAACAGCAGCTTTATGATGTGTACAGAGCTGATGGATGTTTCCGCATGATGCTGTGGTGACTCCGTGTGAGACAGGGTGACAGATTCAATACTAAAATCCCTCAATTTCCACACCCAGTCAACGGACCATTTACGAAACATGAGGACAACTTTTCCCATTTCCCAAAAAATGAATTCTACCCACCCCTTCCAATTAAACGCAAATTATAAACAGGGCTCACAAGAATGGGTAGCGAGTAGAACAACCCAAAAAGGGTGGCGTAAACGGTCCACTTGACGAGAAAGGTCTTCACTCGCACCGTCGATGTCATTGGATGCCAGTGTGGATCGGCTCTTGGCTTCCTCTCATCCCTCAATGTTCACGTTCGGTCCCGCAGCTGATGCCAATCTTCATTTTAATGGAAGAAAGGCGGACCCAGTCGGATTGTGGAAGGATGAAACAAGGCCGTGTACAGTGAGAGCGTCCATCGAAACTTGGCAAGCTCACCGGCCGCCCCCAACTTCCTGGCCTATTTATGGGGCTCCACTGGCTTGGCTGGGTGGCGTTAATCAAGACTAATTTATTTAATAGCGGCCCAAAAAAGTCCTTGTGAACGACCGGAGCAGGAACAACGGCCAACTTGGGCAATGGTTTGACAGAGTATTCAGTACAAAAACCAAGCCTCGCCGTTGGTTGCATTAAACAAGCGAAGGATGATCTTGGAAGCTTCTTATTAATCGTCAGGCTGACTTTAAACGAGTCCACTCGTTTTTTCCTCGAGACTCTGAGCGCAGTTTTTTAATTCAGACTCGGTTTTAGATAAACCTACGTGTGCTGTGGTCTGTTGCGCTTTCCATTTCAATGAGTTGCAAGACTCCCAGTCCAAGTAACGCGTAGACCAATGGATCAAAGAAAACCCGTTATTCCAAATATTCTACAGACAAGATTATGAAGTAAGAGTTCTACATACGAGATCAGCTGCCTAGGGAATCCGAATATTTTTAGACGACTACAAGTTTCATAACGAAATAAGCGATCTTCCCCACGTAATTATACGAATCCATCACGAATAAAATCCATTTGATTGAACTATCCTGTTATTGGGTCTGGACACATCATGCCACTGTTTTTATATATCTCATCTCTCGTGGTCCATTGGTTACCAGATTCTCAATACATTCTCCGCAGTTTCGATATCCCTACATGAGACGAAGAGGAAGGGAGAGAGAGAGAGAGAGAGAGAGAGAGTAAAAGAAAGGGAGTGCGAGAGAGAAGGAGAGAGAGAGAGAGAGAGAGAGAGAGTGCTCACGTAGACAGATAGAGTAGTTTGACGCTCCCCGATTGTACCAGTCGACTTGACCCCCCATACCGAAGGAAACCTTGTTATTCTCGCCTTTAAAAAAAGAATCTCAAATTCTATCGGACGAGCGGATTGTCGATGGTAACGACCAGTGTCGTGAAGAAGAGGTGTGCAGGCTCTAGTTGTGCATGCTGGGATGGCAGGTAGATGTGGTGCATCGTCTCATGGAAAGGCGCTGAGGGAGCCGCCAGTATCGCGGGCCCGAAGCACCACCGAATAAGGATCGGAGAAAGAACCAAAGGCTACAAGGTTGCCAGAAGCAAGAAGGATGCCTTAAATGCTGTGAAACCTGGATGCTTCACAACAGCTGACCTCGCCGCCGGGTTTGACGGAGCATTGAATAGCAACCGCTGTCCGTGAGGCGGCGATCAAAACCGCAGCCTGTCGTCCATCCCCCCTAAGTCCAGCAAACTAAGTGGCCAACCTTTCGTTCATTCCCCGGAGGTCAGGCCCACACACTATAAAAACCCACCCCGCTCTCCCCGAACCCTCCAGGCACTTATCAACCGGTATCTCCTCCTCATCCCCAGCAGACGGGTCGTCACCTTCTCCTTCAGACACCGGTTGCTCCACCGATCCGCCCCGCTCGTAACCCCACCGCAGAACCACGTTCCACCAATGGCGCAGCAGACCATCGAGGCCCACCGCCCCGGCGCGGAGATCTACACGGGCGACGACCTCTGCCGCCAGAAGGCCATCGACCTCCTCGAGGAACTCAACCTCCCCAGGGGCCTCCTCCCCATCGAGAACGTCGAGGAGATCGGCATCAACCGTCAGACCGGCTTCGTGTGGCTCCGCCAGAAGAAGGCCCTCAACTACACCTTCCGCAGGGCCGGCCGCCTCGTCTCCTACGGCGCCGAGGTCACGGGCTTCGTGGAGGACCGCCGCATGCGGCGGGTGACGGGGGTGAAGTCCAGGGAGATGCTCGTCTGGATCCCGCTGGGAGAGTTCTTTGTGAACCCCAAGGACACCACCAAGATCACCTTCAGGACGCCCGCGGGACTCTCGAAGACCTACCCGGCCTCGGCCTTCGAGCTCGAGGAGCAGGGAAACCAGAGATTACTCGCCTGATAATTACATGCGCATTCATTGAAACATTTGTTCTATAAAATGTTCATTGTTCGTTGCCCTATCTCGGGATGAACGAGAGAACGATAGCTTCTTTTTCACAGAGTCTGCTACGTTGACTCTGGATTCCTTTTTTCTTTCATCTTCCAGTCATCATATTTATGCTAAACGTGAGCAGGAGAGAAGGACAGTCTGCCGTCTCCTTTCCATTTTTCCTCGAATACTGAATGAGGACGACTTCGGAAGCTTGAACTCGGGATGCCATCAACGTAAGATGTCAGAGTGTGCCCGGAAAGACGTAAATGATGGGTGTTAGTCAGCCAGACTATTCAAAAAACCTTGTTGGGATGATCCTTCGTCGCTTGTGCTACGACTCACTCGTCTAGGTATATGGAGCGTTCATTTCGAGTCGTTATGGACTTGCATGATTAGAAGAAGATCCATCGGTCTGAAGAGGAGAAAAGATGGCTTTTACCAGTGTGTGTCGTGCATTTGATACTGGCTCTGCGTAAACGATAAGTGAATGGCGTAGAGGAATTGAGGGGTTTTCTCACTAGGGATGTCTTGAAATATATTGAGCAAGCTATCTCTATAATGTATTCACTGTAAGAACGGAGGAAGTAATATTTTTGCGGTTGTTTAGATTTTTCTTCTTTGGTCCTGATGCCGCCCTAAGGTACTCATCGACGATGACAACCATCATGCTTGAACCAGACCATGTTAGGCCTTTTGCCTTAAATTGCTCGTTGGTTCAGGCCTATTGATCTCGATTACGCCTCACCGAAATTTAAAATTTTTGTATCGTAATGGAAGTGAATTTTCTTTCTAATGGCAGTCTTGCATGGTGGACTCCAGCACTACTGCCGTGCGGAGTGAAAAGAGAGAGAGAGACGGCGACAAGATCGTGATGATGTGCCTTCCAACTTCGTCTCTCGTGCATATGGTTCCACCTGTCACATGCGCCCAGCCCGTTGACATGCGGCGGACTCATGGAACAGCGTTATTCATTATGTAGGGGCCTAAGCTCACAAGTGGATAATCAAAGCACAAAATACAATGAACTTGGTGAAGAATTTGAACCCGCATTCATCACCAATAGGCCACCTCCCTGCCAACTACCAATTAGCGTTTAGTTCATTCCCTCCACCCCCACCATCACTCCCTTATTTTTAAATATCTTCTTGACTCTACGAATATGGTCCATGTTTCCGTATATCCAACCTTTTCTTTAAGGGAAATGCTCAGCGGCAATATCAATCCTGATTCCTTTGACTTTCATTTTTGAAATCTATTTTAGTGTTGAATACCAATTTGCAATACCAGTTTGCCGTAGACTTTGCAGCGTGGCGCATGAGTATATTATTTAATCGTTATTCTCTTGATTATAACCAATTGTTTATAATTTTAATGTGACAGAAAATGAGTTGCCTAGGTTCATCCACGGTGGAAGGGGGTTAAACCGCACTGTTGTGGGGAGAGCCAGCAGACAATCAAGTTGGTCTGAACATCAAAGATTTCTCATGAGGCTCGAGTGGCCTCGGTAGTACGCATCTAGAGGCTTCCAACCAACCTATGAGTATTACTAACGTGAGAATGGTTGTCCCACGGCCAATGCTTAATCACGGGATGCCCCATACTTAAATTACAAGTGCTCTAGCACTCTGTTCTTTTGTGTTTTATCTCGGACGGTCAACATTTGTTGGATGCCCGTCTTCTGCACATAAAGTGAGTTCATTCACTTTACGCAACAATGCTCGGCGGACAACAATGGGTTAAAGTCGGTTGGTTGTGGTTGTATAGCGTAGGTGTCGTCAAGGCAGAGATGTGAACTTCAATTGTAAATATAAATCATTGATTCACGGTATTCAAAAGCGATAATCGCTCAGGAGACTTGATGTCTGGTCGCTTGTGTCGAGCTCGTAGCATTTAGGTGGCTTAGTTTGCGTACGCGGGTCAAACGATAATTCTCCCCCTTCACAATGTGACAGGACATCATATTCTGGTTATATCTCCAGCCGACATTTCTAGTTGTCTTCGTCCATTTGTTCACTCACCATTTTCTCTATTCCTAAGAAATTTCTGCGATTATCAGCGGAAAGATCCTCAAAAATTAGGGAGACATTTTCACCCGAACGTTTGGCAAGATTCTCAACAATTGGGAACACAGCGATCTTGTGAAAATCAAAAGAATTGTGAGCTTTAACGCGATGGAAAATTCCATCTTGTTGCTTCAGGGTACAGATTCAATTTTGAAGATGTAGAGCGACCGAATCCGGGTACGTACTACGCAGTTAATCTCTGGTTTCCCTGCTCCTCGAGCTCGAAGGCCGAGGCCGGGTAGGTCTTCGAGAGTCCCGCGGGCGTCCTGAAGGTGATCTTGGTGGAGTCCTTGGGGTTCACAAAGAACTCTCCCAGCGGGATCCAGACGAGCATCTCCCTGGACTTCACCCCCGTCACCCGCCGCATGCGGCGGTCCTCCACGAAGCCCGTGACCTCGGCGCCGTAGGAGACGAGGCGGCCGGCCTTGCGGAAGGTGTAGTTGAGGGCCTTCTTCTGGCGGAGCCACACGAAGCCGGTCTGACGGTTGATGCCGATCTCCTCGACGTTCTCAATGGGGAGGAGGCCCCTGGGGAGGTTGAGTTCCTCGAGGAGGTCGATGGCCTTCTGGCGGCAGAGGTCGTCGCCCGTGTAGATCTCCGCGCCGGGGCGGTGGGCCTCGATGGTCTGCTGCGCCATTGGTGGAACGTGGACCTGCGGTGGGGTTACGAGCGGGGCGGATCGGTGGAGCAACCGGTGTCTGAAGGAGAAGGTGACGACCCGTCTCCTGGGGATGAGGAGGAAAGAGAGCTGGCTGATGACGTGAAGTGATGGGTGCGATGGAGGCGAGCGGGAGGGATACTTATATAGTGCGGTCTTCGCGGGGGACGGATAAGGGAGATGGCTGGTTCAGCGTGTGGGCCTCACAGCCTGACGCGGGACCGTGGGATGCAATGAACTAGAGGTTGCCGTTTGGTTTGCAGGGGTTCTCAGGGGACGGATGAGAAGCTCTGGCTTGGTCGTCCGGGTGAGTGGAATCGGGAGTGTTAAATGATCTTCGAAACTGGCGGCGAGGCAGGCTGTTGTTCAATGTCCGATGATCCACGGGAACGCCAGCATGGGCCTTTGGATTGAAGCACTCTAGTTATCATCACCTAAGGATGCCACTTGGCCCTCATAATTACACAGCGACTTCTGACGGAGGAAACGAAGCGGAGATGTGGGACCCACGCAATTATGGTCCCTTCCTTATGGGTTTTAATAGCATCCGTGACAAAAGAGAAGTCAGAACTCGAAGAGGGGTCATCCAGGCGCCAGTGGTAGTGAAGGTCAACTGAGGAAGGGGCAGAATCACGTTGAAGGGAAACGTTCCATACGTACCGGAAAAGATGAGCATCAAGATTGTTCGGCCTGACTTGGTAAATTTTCTGTTATGCATCTGGTCTGTGAATGACTTCACAAGGTAACGAATTGGGTGGAGTATCTGCATAGGGGTATGTCAAACACTGTGCCCACCCTCTTTCACTCTACACTCCTTGCTTATTCCCTTAGTTATCGCTCTCATTCGCATAGTCGGAAGTCCGTCTCCTCCCCCCCCCAATCCCCCCGCGGTTTCAATGCTTATAGTCCATCTCCGTCTCCCTTTCTCTCTCTCCCTCTTTCTCTATTTCTTTGCCCACATCCTTATTCCGCTTCCGCCACTAGCACTCATTCCCACCGTTCTGTGCTACCTCTCAGCCTCTACGGCCAGGTTCGCCCCCTCAGTCCGTCGACCTAGTACACTGTATGGAATCCCTGACGAGGTTTGATAAGTACATTCGCCCAGCAAATCAGAAGCCTCTCTTTTCCCTCCCCTGCCGGGTGCATTATTCGAGGAGAGGCCCACAAGTCGGCACAGCAGCTCGTTAGCATGCACTCATCATAGATTCACACACCAGATGATAAAGTAGAGGCATAGTTGACTACCAAATATCAAGATGATATAGCTAAACTAGTCCCTGGTAGAACATCACGTTCATCAAGCTTAAGGGGTGGTGTGTTCTCGCGATTGAAGCATCTTTTTGCTCTCATTCCAATGGGAGAGACGAGTCCCAGCCTTTGTTTCGAGAAATGTATCATCAAACTGACCCAGCAAGAAACTGAATCTTATGAAAAACCTGCGTGGTTCCATCACATCCCACACTGGCTAAGTTCTAAAATTCACCGAGGAGAAAAGGCAAAGTTTATAACGAAGCGTTGAATGAACGTAAATTATGCAAGTTTTCGGCACACCCCAGGCGAAAGCGATCAAGATGAACATCCTGCTTGACGAACCCAGCTGCTGGGTTTTCTGTAGTAAGAAGGACAGCGTACGGTATCTCCCACGATGAGCCACTCGCCAGCGTGCGGGGAGAGAGAGAACTGAGGACGTCCAAACTAACATTAACTAGACATGGCCACTAGGTAGGGTTCCGTCGGCATGCCGGTTGGTCGTTGGGGCATGAACAAGACCCATGTTCGCCGAAGGTTTTGGAGAGCATTCAATGCCATTGGTTAAGCTTACGGGGAACCCGGGCAGCCGCCGCTCATCCATTCCCCTTTTCAGCTGTCTGTGGCGTTCCCCGCAGGTTGATACAGCTGTTTCTTTATCGGGCGCCTAGTGTAAGATCGTGATAACTCGTAGGTTTGACTTTCGGAACTTAAGCATAAAGTGCTCCTCACGTAAATGGTTCGTCGGCATTCGCTATTGGCTTCTCAAACAAGCCCACAGGAGGTTAGCGGTTAGTCATGGCGTGATCATCATCATAACTGGTACTCGTCGGTTAGCCAATGAACGATCAGCTCGGAATGCCCGCATGCTTTCGGAAATAGCCCATAATAATGACGGCGCCAAGTTAGACGTTTGGCCTCCCTCCGTACAGCACGCGGGAGCAAGGGTCAACCCCTGTCTGCGAAATACTTTAATCAACCATTAAACTATTTAAAACTTTACAAGCTAATGCGGCAAAGGTAACCATTGAACAGCGTGTTTTCCGACTTTAAAGTCTTCTCCATGCATCATATGTCAAGTCCTCCATTATCGTGAAAAGGAGCGTGGAGTGTGGACACAACTTTAGAAGAAAGAGTCAAGCGAAGGATTTAACGCTCCTAGGGAAGATGCGTTCAAATCTTTGCTTCCGTCCCGGTCCCGTTCCTTGTTGAATAGTAGCGTTTGTGTCCCAAATCGGGTTACAAAGGGCAAGGTGCTTGCGCTTCTCAATTATTTGTTACTTGCTCGTTTATCCTCTTCTCGATTAAAGTAACCGCCGGAGCAACTTTCTGTTGCCAGGGACTCCCGTAAAAAAAAAAAAAAGGGGATTAATTATATGGAGAACATTAAGGTGTAGTCAAGAACAGTAGCTTTATGATGTGTAGAGAATCGATGGATGTTTCAACATGATGCAGTGATGACTATGTGATACAGAGTGTTAGATTCGAGAAGAAAATCCCTCATTGCCCACACCCTGTTGACTTGTCATTTACGAAATAAAAGGGATCACTTTTCTCATTTCCCAAAATATGAATGATACCATTGCTATCAAAAGCAGGTCATGTACGGGGTTTCACAAGAACGAGTACCAAGTAAAACGACCCCAAAAGGGTGGTGTAAATGGTCCAAGTGACGAGAAGCGTGTTCAGTCACACCGTGGATGAACTCAATGCCAGCGTGAATCGGTGCTCGACTTTGTCTCATCCCCTAACAAGATCTCCTTCGGTACGCAGCTGCTGCCGACATTCATTTTTATGGAGAGGATTGTGGAAGGATCAGGCAAGGTCATGTACAGTGAGAGCTTACACGGAAAGTTGACAAGTTCAGCGGTGGCCCCAATTTCCTGACCTATTTATGACGCTCCACTGCCTTGCAAGGGATGCGTTAATAGGAACTAATTTATTAAATAGGAGCTCAGAGATATCGTCATGAGCCATCGGACCAGGAATAACAACCAACTTGGACAGAGGGTTGGCAGAGTATTCAGTGCGGAAATCTAGGCTCGCCGTTTGTCGAATAAACAAGCAGTGGATGATCTTGAAAGTAGGTTAATAATTCAGTGCGGAAAGCCGTTTGTCTGCTCATGTTCTTTCTCGAGAATCTGAGTGCATTTTATTAGTTGAGTCTTTTTTTTTTGGATAAGTCTACGCGTTGTGTGGTCTGTTGCCCTCCCCATCTCAGTGGGTAGCGGGCCTCCAAATTCTAAATAACGCGTAAATCAAAGGACTAGAGAAAGGTGTTATTCCAAATACTCTAGGTACAAACTTAAGAGGTAAGAGTTGCTACACAATAGATCCGGCTCCTAGTGAATCAGGTACTTTTTTAGTGCACTAAAACTTTCATAACAGAATAAAGTTATAACAATTCAACACAAATAGAGTTCATTCGATGGAACTATCATGTTACTGGCAACGGATACATCGTGAGACCGTTTCTATGCATCTCATCTCTCGTAGTTCGTTCGTTACTTGATGTTCAACACCGTCTCCATAGTACAAGACTGTGAATGCGAGAGAGAAAGAGACAGAGGTCGCAAGTAGACAGATAGAGCAGCGAAACGTTCACTTACTATATCAAATGACTTGATTTCTCATACCAAATGAAACTTCGGTAGTACAGATCTAGAGGCTTCCAACCAACCTATGAGTATTATTGATGTGAGAATTATTGTCCCATGGCCTTAGGTCTGTGTGAAATGGTGACCTTGTCATCCTTGTTCAGCAAGGCCCTTGTTGGCCGCATCCCTCTTTTCTAGGCTTTCACTTATAACTGTTTTTTGTCTAAGAAATAGTTTAGTCCCTTTTCTATGACTTGTATTTAAAGGGAGCTCAAATAGAGAGTTTTGTGAGAAAAAATAGACAAATGTAGAGCACAAGAAACCCAATCCTCTCTAGAGGCTGCAACAAGAGTTCTGACATCATCTCCCCCTTTTCTCTCTCTCCTCCACCAGTGGCTGGTATTATCACTTCATTAACTGTCTCTATTATATTCTATTCCTCAAAGATTGTCATTACTCTCTTGTATATTGGTTTATTAGTCGTGAGGTGTGTTTATCCTCTTTAGACCACAGTAATCAAAGTCCAATTTTATTATAGCCCATTCTACTTTTTCATTATCATTTATATATTAGAAGACTTGTTTTACTTGTACTTTTAATTTTTTTCTGTGCTAACAAGTCAATCTATGCTCATTAAGATCCTGTTCCAAATATTATTTCCTAACAAACTAGTATCAAAGTTTCTAGTTATAGTTTTATTTTAGCACAAATAGAAATACAAGATGTCTACTAAGTTTTATATTGAGAAGTTTGATTGAAGCACCAACTTCAAAATATGGCAGGTCAATATGAGACCCATCTTGACCCACCAAGGGCTACATAAAGCATTATTGGGAAAAGGAAAAATGTCAAACACTATGTCTATAGAAGAAAACAAGAATTAGATGAGAAAATTCTTGCTATGATTCAACTTAGTTTGTCTAATGAGTTTTGTGTGAGGTCATTTATGAAACTACAACAACTACATTATGCTTGAAGTTAGAGTCATTGTATATGACCATATCACTCACTAGCAAACTATTTATGAAGCAACGTATGTTCATGCTCAGAATGGTAGAATGTACATCAATTAAAACTCACCTTGATGAATTCAATTCTATTTTACTAGATTTAGAAAATATTAATGAGAGAGTA